AGCAACCATCTAACCAGCTTTAAATTGAAACATTTATTTGTGATTATACAGTTGTTGCAGTCGTATGTAATATGGGATCGCAGAATTTAGGTTTTTGTGTAACCACTAACCAACATTAGTGCAGAGTGCACATTCTTCTCCAAAATATTGACCAGTACCAATTTACTGTTACTTTATTTGTCGAAATTACTATTGGTTCTGAAAAGAGCCGATTTGATGCCAGTTTATAGTAACCACACAAGATTTTCGATATATGGCCCTCCATTCTGGACACAGTCCGAGCCCTTCTTTTTTCTTATTCTTTTTTTATGTAGGACATTCCAAGCTCGATTTCCTCCTTTAGCCCTGATTATTGTATTTAAAATTTCAGCATCTTCGAATTCTTTCACTTACGTCATTAGGTGTTTATAAAAGTTCTATGTGTTGAACATTCTGTCACTAATGGTGTTTGAATCGTCTCAAAATCGTTTTGAAATTAGAATTCGAGTAGCTATTGTTGCTTACATCGTCTTCAAATTCGAATTTAAGTTGCTACTGTTGCTAAAAGCAACGTTTTGTGATGACGTCATTTTTACAAATACACGTATATCAACTTGGATTGATGCAGTGTAAAATACTAAAAATAACAGTATTGTATTCCCAAAATTTTCTGGGAAAATGGAGTGAGTCGTTCCTGATTTAATCAATAAAATAAATTTGACACATTCATTAATTTTTTGAGTCCCCTGTTTTAGAAAATCTAAAAAATATGAGTCCAATGATCGACCACAAATAAGAACATATTTGCACATTTTGGGTGGAATTTCTTCTACAAAATTTTGAGATGTCGTCATCAGTTTTTTGGGGGACCTAAACAGATATATTTTGATCAACAATTTACCATGCTTCAATAACTTGAAAACGGCTGCAAGATTTCAAAATATTCAGTTTTGCTATTCTTGATTTATTCAATAAAATAAATTGACTGATTCATTAATTTTTTGGAGTCACCCTCTATAAGCAAAGCTAAAAAATATGAATGCAGTGATAAATTACAATTATAGATTGATCATTTTAGATAGGATTTATTCAGCAAAATTTTGAGATGACGTCATAAATTTTTTGGAGTTGATGAACAGTAAGTAAGCCTAAAAAATATGAATGGAATTGTGTGTATCGGTGGGGATTTTAATAAGAAATAGGGACGGTCACGGTTTTCAGATTTTTATTAGATGCTTACGGGTTGAGAGCTCGAGGAAGAAAAAGGAATGGTGTTTAAAAATTGTCGACACGTAGGTTCGGTTTTGGAGAGGTGGAAGAACTTAAAGAAAGCGTTTAGAAAATTCTAGAAACTGAAAGAGAAAGTTGGACAATAGGGCAGGTAGACGAAAGATAGGATAAGAGGAAGGATAGGATTTGTACAGAAATTTATATAAATATCACATGTATTCAGGTATATTACGTGTTTTTGGAGCAACTGTTGTTCCCAAATATAGACTCATCATATTTTGGATTTTTCCGAAAGGATTTATTCGGCAACATTTTGAGCTGACGTCATCAATCTTTTGGAGGGGATAAGTAAATAATTTTGATTAAAAATTTATCATGATTATCATAACTTTATAACGTCTGCAAGATTTCAAAGCATTCCGGTTTGCAGATTCAAAATTAAATTGCAAAATGTTGCTTTATAATTTTGATTCTTTTCCCAAAAATCTGGACGTTTCGATAAAAACTCAACACGGCTTCATAAACTACATGTTATTTTATACAATTTAAAACCCATTTACTATGTACAATTGTGAAATGATATCATCACGTTATTGGTGAGGATGATTAGGCAAATTTCGGTTAGCGTTATACCATCTACATGACGTTCCTAATATAAATACAAAATTTGACAACAATTGTCCCAGTACTTTCGGAGATTATCTGTCTAATAAAAATTTGGAACGGCAGCCAAACGGACAGACAGACACACGGAAACAGGAGACCTATTTCTTCCTACTGTAGGGGTCATGAAAGCTCGAAAAAACGTAAAAGTAGAGAGTCGGTCGACGGACTCGATTACAATTACAATTACAAAAATTATAAGACGTTTCTGTCAGTAATAGCGTTCGAAACATGTCAAAATCGCCTTAGAATTAGAATTCAGGTTGGTTTACAGCCTGCGAGTGATGAAATGTGAGTTTTTAGCAACAGTAGCATACAGTTTGAAAAGTCTAGTCTTAAATTCCAGGACTTCGAATTACTTTCACTTATAATACAGTCACAAGTATAGTAATCGAGTCTATATAGCAACTTGCTACTTGCATGTTTTCTTGACGTTTCATGACGTCTAGAGTACGAAAAATTTGGTCTCCCGGTTCCGTCTCTCTGACGCCTGACTCTCCAACGTCTGTGTCAATTTTTATTAGACTGATAATCTTCGAAATTACCGCACCAATTGTTATCAAATTTTATACTTATGTTAAGAATATCGTGTATATTGCAAAACGCTGACCAAAAGTTGATTAATCATCCCCCCACCAATGGGATGATCCAAAATTTACAATAGTATTTTTTTAATTTTATAAAATACGATATTCCTGCACTTGTGATGTATGAATTCGTACTGCGTTTTCACGCTGAACATCAAGATTTTTGGAAAAAAAAAATTAAAATTGTATATTTTACAATGTAAGTTTTAACTTGCAACACACAATTGTTATATAATTTTGATTTTTCTTCCATAAATCTGCTCGTTTCGGGTAAAAACTCAACACGGATTCATATACTGTACGTGTAGGACTATATTATTTTACACAGTTTAAACCTATTTATAGTCTTTGCCATTTCTATTGAAACATCACCTGTTAATCGTAAATTTGGCAACGTTCATATTCAGAGAATTTTCGAATTAAAAGCCATTGTCAACCAACCGAAAGCTGTTACCAATTGCTAAATTTTAAGCAAAATCAAGAGGTAGTGTTTCAATAGAAATGGCAAAGACAATACTGTGTACAATTTTGAGGTGTCATCATCACATTGTTGGTGGGGATGACTAGACAAAGTTTGGTTAGCGTTTTACCATCAACATGATATTCCTAATATAAGTACAAAATTTCACTCACAATAATCGGTCCAGTACTTTCGGAGATTATCTGTCTAACAAAAATCGTCACGGACGGCCGACAGACACACACACCGAAACGGGAGATCCATTTTTTCGTACTCTATGGGTTATAAAATGTCGAGAAAACGTATAAGTAGAGACTCAGCCGACGGACCCGTTTACAATACGTCCTTACGTTTGGAAAGTAAAAAGTAAAATTCGCAAAATCAAATAATTTTCAAAAAAGCTGGAGTTGATTGTACTTCAGAGGCGAGGAAAGTTCTGTCGAAATAACCTTCGATCGACTTTTTTATGCATTTCTAGGATGATGTCTTGCTATTCCTATAAAAAAAATGGAATCATTTTGCAATTTTTACCAAAAATATCCAAAAAATTCAGCAATATAATTAAACACTTTCTTTGAATGATCGCACGAAATCAAGATATCTAATTTGCTGTGAAATAGCTATATACGTAAAAGAGGATAGCTTGTGTATAAACTTGACAACGCTGTTGGAGGTAACAACAAACTACGAGTACCCACTCATATACGGATATGGAGGTAAGAACGCCTCTTTTGTATATCTTATACAGGGTCATTATAAAATATTGTAGTCGAAGAAGGCCATGATTTTGGTGACATTTTGTGCCGCCTTTTTCAGTTTTGTGGAAAGGATTACACTAATATTGGAATTTTTATTTTTAGCGCCACATTAGTTGACATTAGCACCAGTGTTGCCACTTCTACCGAATTTTCGGTAGATCTACCGATTTTGGGCTCTGTCTACCGATCTACCGATTGAAACACAAAATCTACCGAAAAGTCTACGATAATTCAAGAATTTATTTTTAATGTATTTATAAATTTTCAATAATTTTTTTTATATAATTTTATTTCTTAATATTTTTTTCAGTATAGATTTAGTTCTGCGGATTTGTTTAGTTCCCTCTATTACGCACCAGCGTAACCACTATACATTTTTACAGATAGCGCCAAATATCTATTCTTTTTAAGCGCGTTATAATTAAAAGGGGATTTTTTTTTAATTAGTTAGACAAAATTCAGTATATCCCCGAAACAGTTCAGCACCTGAGGCAATAATTAAGGGGAATATTATAGTTTCATTGTGTTTTTATTTTTAACAAAATGTTCCTACTACCTTTAGCATGCTTACTCATAGATATATTTTTTTAAATGATCTATGTTAATATTTGTTTTTTATTTGTTTCTTTTTAATAACAAAATATTTCTACCTTCTTCATATATGATAAAAAAAAAAACGTACCTATTATTTATGTGTAATACCTTTTCTATCACAAAAAACCGATCTACCGAAAAAATGCCGAAATTTACCGAAAATTATCCAAGAAATCTACCGATAGTAAGTAAAACGGCGTGGCAACGCTGATTAGCACAGACATTATTAATTCTGTCAGATGTCAATAATTTTTTCGTTTGTACTGGTACGTTTTCCCTCACTTTGTGCGTTAATTGACTTGTCTTGTTTTCATTTTTGCTGTCTTCCCCATTGTTAGAACTTTAATAAGTGTCTCAAAAAACAGTTTTTATCAAAACTACAGATCATTGTGGAATAATCTCAGGTAATGAACAGAGAGGAATAACTATGGTTAGTGTTACAAATGATTTTTTTAGTTCTTTGGCGCAATCATCATGCCTATTACCGTAATGGGGTGTTAAATGAGGATGGGGATGGAGTGTACTCTGTGGAGGCGTCTAAAAACGAGTATCTAGTGAAATGTTCTGTTGTCATTGATGAAGAATCTTTGAAGACGCTATATGGCGAATTATGGCCAGATTTAACAACACTGGTAGCATTTCTAAGTGAAAACCGACGGGGAGACCTCAAGTTAGTGAAGACGTTGTTGAAGATTTAAGGATGAGAATGGAACAAAGTCCGAATAAAGCTTTGTCAAAAATCTTTACTGTCCGGAGTACCATACAGCCCATGTCAGAAAATCGTAAAAGAGAAGTTACATATGCATCCATACAAGATTTTGTTGGTTCAGGAGCTGCAACCAGCTGATTTTCCTTGCCGCGTTGGGTATTGTAGTTGGTTTCAAGCTGATATGGACGATAACGGGATTCTCGATTTGTCGTTCTTTTCTGATGAAGCCTGGTTTCATCTGTTAGGCTATTATGTCAACTGACAGAACTTCAGAATTTGGTGTATAGAAAATACTCACGCTTTTGAAGAAACACCATCACACGCAATGAAGGTTGGTGTGTGGTTAGCTGTTTCCAGACGACGATTCATAGGCCTGATACTTTTTCAAGTAAATGAATGTGATCAATAAACAAAATTAGATGTAGAAAGTGTATGTAGGTACTGCAATAAAGTTTTTTATTTTCAGTAACTTTCATTTTTCTTTCGGTGTTAGTTGCATTTTCTTAATTTAAAACTTACTTCAACTTACTGTTTAGTAATAATTGTAATTTTACTATTAGGAAAGTTAAAAATCTTTATTAAACATTCTGTTGTTTCAAGAGATCTCATAATCATCTACAGAACTCTTAACACTATGCTCCTGAAATTTTATTGGTTTTTTCATCTTTTTTGTTATAGAAATTTTGAAAAATCTTGATATTAGGATGGCCATGTGGGCGTGTTTTGGGTAGAACCTCTTTGACATTCCTGTTATGCAGATCTGGCATGTTTCAGATATCTAGAAACTGCAAAGCTGAAGGTAATGTTTGGACATAGCAGTTTTCACCTATTGTAGGGATGAAGATCAAGGCTTTCAGTTGTGTTTTTTCAAGAGAAAAGCACCGGTCACAAACCATGTCTGCACCAATATTTTGACGATTCCTTACAATTTACAAACAGAACTTTCGCGGGATCACAACTTTGGCAAAATTATTTACTGCAAAAACTCATTAGGTACTCATAGTGTTCGTTAACTGTGATAAGACTTGCTCTGCCATTGTCCATTACGTGATTTTTCACAATTTTTACCTTCAGGGTACCTATAAAAATGTAATTTTTTAAATAATTACCGTGTTCATTGGTTTCGACAAACTTAACCTCACTTTTTGGATTTCATTATTTGAAAAATTATTGCTTCTTTGCAAAACAGACCAGATGATTTATTCTGTTCAACTCCAATCGACTTTCCAAGGTGTAATTCATGACAAAGCCCTTAAACGTTTTTCATAGGTGAGTTGACTACAGTATTTTATAATGACCCTGTATAAATCAGAAATAAATTTTCCAATTTGTTATTTTTTCCTTCAACTGATTGTTTCCTAGCAGTATAGACATTCAATAAACGCAACACCTTAAGTTTCGAAAACTTAATGCACAAAAAACAAACATAACCTGGAATTTAGTTACTTTTCAAGTTAATCCTTGATTGAAAAATAATCATAGTTACAATGGCACCCGTTACCAAAGCAACGACACCATTATAAAAACAAAAAATCAACACACCTTGTTTGTCAATGTTCCGAAAGTCACATTTCTTCCGTCAATTTTTTTTGTTGCTGTTACTAAGAATCAGATAATGGACCCTGAAGAAAGAAATTTGAGCTTCAACGAAACCACCAAAAAGTGGCATTGGTCTCCACCTAAGACAATAGAATACCACAGGCGTGACCACCGGGAGACGCTAGACCTGCTGAAAAAACTAATTCAGTGCCCGGGTAAGTAGCACATGCGCAGAAATATTTTACAGTTACACACGGGTTTTTCAAGCGTGAAAACGGCACTACCATTTACTAATTTGTATTTGTTCAACTTGAACTACTTGCTTAGACCTCCAAGTGGAACACATTGCTCCCCTACGACCCATGCCCAAACCCTTACCCCTAGCCCTCAACTCCCTAAAAACCGAGTCTGCTGTCGAATCCATGTTCCCGTTCGGCAGCACCCTGGACCCCAAACCCCCCAAATTCGAACTCATGGAAACCTACCTCACCCCCAACAAAAACAACAAAAAGTGGGTAAAAGCCAAACTTATCCACGTCGGCGAAGACGTCGTCCACCTCGCCGACAACCAAACCTTCAACGACATAACAACCACCAAAAAAAACATAGCCTACCCTGAACCGCCCACCCGGGTCCTAGAGGTTGGCAGCCGTGTCGTGGCTTTGAAAAAACAACTATCGACCACCGGCGAACTGTCACGAGGACGACGCAAGCACGAAAAGGGCGTGGTTATGGAATTTCCAACCAACCAGAACCTACAAAGGTCTGTCAAAGTAACGACTCGGCGCGTGTAATGTCGCGATTGGTTGTAGATATTTGGTGGTTTTCGACGACGGCGACTGGGCTTACGTGAAGCCGGATGAAGTGTGGCTTCTGTGTTATCAAAGTCCGAGGGCTTGGGACGACGTACCTGAGGAAAATAAGCACATCGTGAGGTACTTTTTACACGGGTTATATCAAGCAATAACGGACTTCGAAAAGGGTGATTTGGTCGTGTACGAAATGAGACCCAATGGTAAGTTACGTGGTATGACTAACACGTTTTTTTATGACACTTTTCAGAATACCAACATGGCGTCGTTATAAAAGTTGACGTTTCTATCTTGTACGTGTGGTTTTCTAAATATTGTAAGTGTGTGACACTTTATAAAGGTCTTGCAAGTTTTAGAGGTTGTTGACAGTTTGTTCTATTTTTAATAAATAATTTATTTTATTTGTGTTATTACGATTAAAATTAGTACATCGCCAGGAGACACTCTGTTATCACCACAGTAGATCAGTAACGAAACTTCAGCAATATTTGCGGAACGGGTACACAAAAATAAAAATGGGTGGCATGTACTAGTGACATTGGCCACTTTTTTCTTTCTTATAAATTATTAATATATTCAAGCAAAACATTTTTATTCAATTTTGACGTTTTAAACTGCGTTTATTAAATCCTTAACAAGTCTGACAAATAAGTTGTTATCCACAAGTGAATTGCAAAATTTTTATTTCACTCTTAATATTTTTAAATCACTCACAAAAAAATAAAAAACAACCTCAGGAACATAAATATTTTGCTTATTATTTTTAATAGTTTTCACAGAATACAATTTATTTACAATTTTCACTAAAAGGTTGCTGCAACTAAATCAGTATTGTTTGACATATGTATTTGTTTGGCTCTGTGAGACGTCAATTTGGGAATTGTATAAATCCCACACCAATATAATTCCAAAGTGTGTTTCGGAAACTATTTACTACAGATTATTTCGATACGAGTGCAAGAACCAACTGTGAAACACTATTTTATTTGAAATGAAAAATTTGCTAAGGTGTTCTTTTAAACAAACTTCCACAACACATCTCCCCTGTATTCCAGCCTCTTCAACAATCATTAAGTGATGTGAGTTACCGGAAACTCACCTTGAAAGAACACAACTGTTTATGGTATGTTTGTGGATACTCATTAATATGAAAATTCTTACACCACCACTTCTGCGAAGTTTGTTGTGAACTTTGCACATTCTTACGAAGTGGTACATACAGGTATATATGTATATAATCCCGGAACTTTGGCACGGTCGGCACACTATGGCAACACTGTAGTAGATCAAACGCATAAATTAGTCAGTTTCGCACATAAGGAAAATACGGCATAGTTCAGCCCCTCGACGATAGATGGCCAAACAAAATTTAATTATATTTAAAAGGCACTTTGGCATTCTTATACGTAACACAAAAGGATTTGTGTTACGTATAAGAATATTCTAAGTACGTCACCCCTAGAATTACTTTTTTAAAAAATAAAACATTTCGACACAATTGTTTGTATCTGGAAATTCAAAGTGGTTTTAGATGTTCCAATAGCCCAAGTCAAGCGGAAATTGAAACCTTTAACAAATAGAAAATACTAGGGAAGTAAAGGCATTATTTGTTGTCTTTATTTCGCATTTTGCTAACAGTGACCGGGACTAAAGTGTGTGCCAAACTACCTGTTGTATGCGTTCGGTACGCATTTAACAGGGAGTTTCGCATGACATTTATTTTCCCCCAAAATTTTAAATCAAAAAGGAAGTGATTTTTAAGAACAAAACACTCTATGTTACTCATAAGAATATTCTAAGCACGCTGATTATACTGTATTTGCTTAAAAAACTAGGAATTTCTATGGGATAGATTGTATCTGGGTGTGCTAATGGTTTTCGATGTTCCAATAGCCCAATTCAAGCGGGAATTAATATTACCTACAAGATATTCCTAATATAAATACAAAATTTGACAACAATCGGTGGCTCGTAGATTATCTGTATCATAATTCATAAAAATCCGGGACCGCAGACAGATGTACAGACAGACGGCCAGACAGACAGAAACGGGACACCTTCGTACTGTAGGTGTCACGGAAGGTAGAGAAAACGTAAAAGTAGAGAAAACCGCTTTTTTTAGATTTACAGTTTTGTGGAAAAATACAAATCATGCGAAACTGCCTGTTAAATACGTACCGCATGCATGCAACAGGCATTTTGGCACAAACTTATTTACCTGACAGTGTCAGCAAAATGCGAAAATTATGACAATTAATGACGTTTTTAGTTTCCAAGTATGCCACTCTTGCTGAAATTTTAAATTTTCGCTTGAATTGGTCCATTACACCATTAAAAACCTCTAATTAGTTTGTCCAATAAATACGTAAATCCCTGGCAATTTAAGCAAAATGCTAAAGTAGTGAAACTTAATTTTGTTTTTACTTCCCTAATCACTTCTGTTTGCTAAAGATGTCAATTTCCGCCTGAGTGGGTCTGTTAGGACATCAGCACCCACTTAACATGTCCAGACACAATTCATAAAGTGGAAATATACTTTTTTTTTTAAACACATACTGCAGACTACTTACATTTAACTTGCTCAGAATATTCTTATGCGTAATATGAAGCCTTTTGTTGTTAAAAATCCCTTTTTTTGATGATGAAATATTATAGGAAAAAAAAACATGCGAAACTGCATGTTAAATACGTACCGTATGCATGCAACAGGCAGTTTAGCACCAAAGATACCTGTCAACGTCATCAAAATACGAAAATTATTCCAATTAATTACACCCTAACTTCCCTAGTATCTCCTGTTTGTTTAAGATGTAAATTACAGTTTGTATTAGGCTATTGAAACATTAATAAACCGATTATTACGTTCAAATACATTACTTACTGCAGAAGTTGCTTGTTTTCGAAAAAATTCAGTAAGTACTGCATTATGCGTACTGTACGCAAGCAGCAACAGTTTGACACACACGCTAAAATTTATCAAAATGTCATAGTCAGCAAAATGAGAAAATTATGACAATTAATGACGTTTTTAATTTCTAAGGGTGGGTTTTTCCATCTCTAGTTAACTTACGGTTTAACCTAACTCACAGTTAACTAGGCCTGCAGTGTTTTTCCATTTTCGTTAACTAACAGTTTAAAGTTAACTTCTAATTTCATTTAACCAGAACTCAAAGTATCAGTTAACTAATAGTTTCATATTTTGACGTTTGATTTTATAAAACAGTCATCAGTAAAATGATGGATTTCATCGATATTAACGTTTATAGCGACGATGAGGAGGTGCCTGTACGAAAACAAAGAATTTTAAGGGAACGTATAAACCATTTTGAAAAATGGGATAGAAAAGAATTTGTCGAAGTTTGTATAAATGAATAAAGACCAGCGAACAGTAAGATAAATATATTGCTAGTGACAAGTGTTAGATAAATAAGAATAATAAGAATGGAATAGTATATGACCGTGCGGTCGAGATAGTTGAATGTTAGTTACGAATTGAGAATTGAGAATTGAATGTGTACGAATGAGTTAAGAATTAAGAATGAATGCTACCCTGTGTTTCAAGGTGGGGGTGGCTCTGGCTCCCACCCTTACGGGTGGGGAGGGGTGAAACAGGTCCCCGCCAGAGGCTCTAACAGAATTCTTACAAAGATAAACGTTTGCAACTTTTTTTTTAAATTGGCGTATTTGCATTTTAAAATTTGGACCCCTTTAAATTGCCCCCAACAGTGGAATTGAATTCATCTGCAATGGTACGCCAGGAATTTGCCTTCTGCTCCCATGTTACCTGGCCACTTTTTTTGCATTCAATTATATTTCTATTTTTATGAACCAATTGGCTCAAAATCCTTTCCTCTTCTTTCGTAAAGTTAGAACACCGCTTTGTTTTCTCTGTGTTACTCATTTTTGTACAAAATAATCACACCAGAAGAATTTGAATGACATTTATCACAATAAACAACAGATTTGTGAAACGTTGCCATAGATACCAAATATAAATCATAGTTAACTGTTAGTTTTCTAACCAGATTTACAAATTTGTTGGAAAAACGCATTCAAAATTAACTGCTAGTTAACTTGGAGTTAAAGTTAACTAAAAGTTACGAAACCAGAGGTTAACTACATTTTGGAAAAACCCACCCTAAGTATATCACTTTTGCTGAAATTTTAAGTTTTCGCTTGAATTGGACTTTTACACCATTAAAAACCTCTAATTAGTTTGTCCAATAAATACGTAAATCCCTGGCAACTTAAGCAAAATGCGAAAGTAATGAAACTTAATTTTGTTTTTACTTCCCTAATCACTTCTGTTTGCTAAAGATGTCAATTTCCGACTGAGTGGGTTTGTTAGGACATCAGCACCCACTTAACATGTCCAGACACAATTCATAATGTAGAAATATACTATTTTTTTAATAACAAAACATATACAGCATAATACTTACACTTAGCTTGCTCAGAAGTTTTTGTTGTTAAAACTCCCTTTTTTTAGAGATGAAATATTTTAGTAAAAAATAAAAATCATGCGAAACTGCCTGTTAAATGCGTACCGTATGCATGCAACAGGCAGTTTAGCACCAAAGATACCTCTCAAGGTCATCAAAATACAAAAATTATTACAATTAATTACACCCTTCATTCCCTAGTATCTCCTGTTTGTTTAAGATGTAAATTGCAGTTTGTATTAGGCTTTTGAAACTGTTAGAATAAGTATTTTTATTTGTGAACTTAAAGTTTGCTTGTTTTTGTTGGGAGACGAATGACGTCAGACGCTGCAAAGCGGATGCAGGTGTCTCGCTCCCTACTCTTTGTTTTATGTCGTTGGAATGTAGTCGAAGTAAGTCTCTGATTGTCGTCGCAAGAAGACGTTTCAATAAAGCTAGACAAGTTTATTCTCCTCAATTAGTTTTGGCCAATTCCAATGTATTCACAGTAGTATTCACAGAAACATTAATAAACCGATTATTACGTTCAGATACATTATTTACTGCAGAAGTTGCTTGTTTTCGAAAAAATTAAGTATGTACTTCATAATGCGTACTGTACGCAAGCGGCAACAGTTTGACACACACGTTAAAATTTATCAAAATGTCATAGTCAGCAAAATGAGAAAATTATGGCAATTAATGAAGTTGTTAATTCCTAAGTATATCATTTTTGCTGAAATTTTTTGTTTTCGTTTGAATTGGACCATTACACCATTAAAAACCTCTAATTAGTTTGTCCAATAAATACGTAAATCCATGGCAACTTAAGCTAAATGCGCAAGTGGCGAAACTTAATTTTGTTTTTACTACCTTAACCACTTCTCTTTGCTAATGATGTGAATTTCCGACTGAGTAGGTCTGTTAGGACATCAGCACCCACTTAACATGTCCAGACACAATTCATAATGTAGAAATATACTTTTTTTTAAATAACAAAACATATACTGCATAATACTTACACTTAGCTTGCTCAGAATATTCTTACGCGTAATATAAAGTCTTTTGTTGTTAAAATCCCTTTTTTTAGAGATGAAATATTTTAGGAAAAAATAAAAATCATGCGAAACTGCCTGTTAAATGCGTACCGTATGCATGCAACAGGCAGTTTGGCACCAAAGATACCTGTCAAGGTCATCAAAATACGAAAATTATTACAATTAATTACACCCTTACTTCCCTAGTATCTCCTGTTTGTTTAAGATGTAAATTGCAGTCTGTATTAGGTTATTGAAACATTAATAAACCGATTTTTACGTTCAGATACATTATTTACTGCAAAACTTGCTTGTTTTCGAAAAAATTTAGTAAGTACTGCATAATGCGTACTGTACGCAAGCAGCAACAGTTTGACACACACGTTAAAATCAACCAAATGTCCTAGTCAGCAAAATGCGAAAATTATAACAATTAATGACGTTTTTAATTTCTAAGTATATCACTTTTGCTGAAATTTTCAATTTTCGCTTGAATTGGACCATTACACCATTAAAAATCTCCAATTAGTTTGTCCAATAAATACGTAAATCCATGGCAACTTAAGCTAAATGCGAAAGTGGCGAAACTTAATTTTGTTTTTACTACCTTAACCACTTCTCTTTGCTAATGATGTGAATTTCCGACTGAGTAGGTCTGTTAGGACATCAGCACCCACTTAACATGTCCAGACACAATTCATAATGTAGAAATATACTTTTTTTTAAATAACAAAACATATACTGCATAAAACTTACAC